GAACCCGAAGAAGCTTCGAAACAACCCCACCCTTAAAACCAGCTTCCGAGCCCCCTAAACCCTTCCGCCACCTTGCCGCCATGCTGCTCTGCCGCCTGCGGCCCGCAGCGCTGGGGGTGCGGGCGCTGGAGCGTCCTGCCGAAGAGGTCCGGGATGCTGCCGAGCAGATGCTTCTGAGGCCACATCCGAGTTTCAACTTCGGATCGGGGTCTGAGTTTCGGAGCTGTCAGTTGCCTACTTATAGCAGAGGCCTTGAAAAGAGGGGAGACGTCGGAGAGTTCAAAAGTCTTGTTTAGGGTTTTCGGTGAGCCCCCCCATATCGCCGCAAAAGCCCCGCGGCGGAGCTTCTCCCCCTTTGAGGCTTGAGCAGGGCATCAGCGAGGATGAGCGCGGCCAGCGCTTTGCTTGCGAGCTGCGCCTTCCATCTGCGCCCCACATTGCAGGCGCGCTGCCTTCCTCGAAAAAACCCCAAAAATCCCACTCCCCCCTGATCCCCCTCCCTTCCACCTCCTGAACATGAGGGAAGGTTCTATATATTTACGAACTATGGGGGGTTAAGCATGTTTCTCCCGTATCTATATATATATATATATGTATATATATATATATATGCAGCACCGAATGAAGACGGGACAACTGTGCTAGCACAAAAGGCCTTGCTTTCAGATGCCGTATTGAAGCCGAAAGGGCCCTCCCCCCCCAAAGCTCCACTTCCCTCAGCTCAGAGGGCCGGGCTTGGCTGCTGCCAGCGCCCGACTGGGCCCTCCCTGGATGTTTCCCAGTCCCTCGGAGACATGGGCTGCGGCTTAAAGTTACAGGGTTTAGGGTTTAGGGTTTTGGGGTTTAGGGTTTGGGGTTTAGGGTTTTTGTAACGGGAGGAAGTCAGGCACGGGGGCTTCGGGTTTTAGGGTTTTGAGGGGTTGGGTTCAAGTTTTGAGAGGCATGACTCGTGGCTTCACCCGAGAGATTTCTCTAGAAGTTGGGTTTCAACACCACGTTTCAGCTCACGCTGTTTTGCAGGGGTCCTTGCGAAGATGAGCCAAGGTTTTGGAAGATGCCATCTTATGACCCAGGACACCCGGCAGAGTTTACCGAGTCCACCATGGACAGCATTCCTGTTCGGCCCTTTGCACGAAAACAAGGGACGCCGGCTTCTGCTTTGGCAGGTATCAGCTCGGGGATATGGGAGACTAGAGTCGTTCTTATCTTAGGCACTGCTGCACGGATTTGGGTAAACAGGCTCGTCTGTTTGCAACTTTCTCTCTCGCCTGCCAGTCAGAGTATTGCTGCCACCTTTTCCTGAAGGCTTGTGCGTAGGTCGGCGTTGTCAGGTTAGTTCTCGAGCTAGTGGGGTTCCCGCTTTCAGCCTTGAACCTGCCCCAGGACGCGCGGTCCTTAGTCGAGGAGAGCCTCGACTCGGCGGTGAGGAGGGCCATCTTCGACACGGTTGCTGCTGCACGCGCGCAGGGCTTCCATGTGCAGATCGACCGCCATGACTTGTTCCATGGCCACCTCTTTTCTCGCAAGAGTGGGGAGGTGGGCATCCTCCTCCATGCATGCGAGTACCCTACCCAGAATGAGGACTTTCCCATCAACCTCGGCTTCTGCCAAGCAGATTCCCAGGTCCAGTACGAGGATGCTGTGATGCAGCATCGGAACATCTTGCTCCTCTTCTCCAAGGTTCTCCGTGCCTTTGTCCTCGACGCGGAGTCTGACATGGTCAAGGCCCTGATTCCCGAGTATGCCCGGAGGCCGATGTACACACTCTACGAGGACAGCCTCGGCGAGCCTCTGGCAGACGTGTACTTCGTCCCCAGCGAAGAGAAGCTGGGTTGGGTGAGCCGCTTGTCGAAGGGCTCCAAGAAGAGCTCGAAGATACGGCTATGAATGGCTATGACCGTTTCATGACCGTTTCGGAGCGGGCCTCTCAGGACTCTGTTCGGCAGAAGCCGTGGATGTCTGTGTGGCAAAAGAGGGCTGCTGGGCTTTCGGATTGCTTTTCAGGTTCTCTTCCGTGCCTATCGCGTGTTGTTCCGATTAGTCATTACGTGTGTTGTTAGCCGCCAGTGACAGCCTGGCTGCAGAATGCGAAGCCTTGGTGGTCGTCCAAGCACTCTGGCATGACGCGCTTGTCCGATAGGATTGCCCCCCCGAACTCTCTTGCTTGTCCTTTAATGCAGAACCTCTCTCATTGAAGGGAAAGGGAGGAGTCCCAAAGTTTCACATTGAGATGTCCCACAAGCAAGCAGCAGCCATCATCAGCCCCACTCCTTGCGGAGAGACCTTGCAGAGAGGCCGCCCGACTGGGTTCGCGATCTCGGGGCAGCTGGCGCCACTCTCACTGGCGGCGGCGGGGCTGGCACAGGGAGTTTTGAGGATTTTTTGACGGCTGCGGGGCCTGAGTTCATTGCTCCCCAAGTGAGGCACGATGTAGGGCCCGTTTTTTTTGGAGACTTGCGACCGGAGCTCCCCGAGATTCATGTCTCACTGTGGTGCTTTTAGGTTTTGGGGGTTCAGGTTTAGGAATGGGGGCCTGCAGAGTTGCGGGCTGGGTTGGGGGTTGCGCTTTTGTCGGGTTTCCACAAGCTCAAAATGCGATTCGGAGGTTTGCAACGCTGGCTCTGTCATGGGGTTGGTGCCTGGGTTCTCCAGGGAGCCGCGGTGCAAAATAACCTGGAGCCTGAGAACGCAACAAAAGCCTTCAGCACCCTTCATCCTACCTGAACCTAAACCCTAAACCCTATAAACCCTATAAACCCTACAAACCCTATAAACCCTATAAACCCTATAAACCCTATAATCCCTATAAACCCTATAAACCTTCTAAACCCTCTTAACCCTGTAAACCCTATAAACCCTCTGATAAACCCGATAATTCCTGTAAACACTGTAAACCCTATACGCCCGCTAAACCCCTAGACAGTTCCGTTTGGGGAACCAGCCGAGGCTGCCTCCTCCCACGCGACAAGGCACAGCGCGCCCCCCGAACTTCGTTCGTCACACTGCAAAAGACCGAGAGAGGGGGGCCTTTGGGGGATGGGTTTAGGGTTTTAGGTTTAGGGTTCAGGGTTTAGGGTTTAGGGTTTAGGTTTGTAGGGTATAGGGTTTCGGGCCTTTAGGGTTTATAGTGGAGAGAGGGGGGGGGGGAGGGCGCCCTTTCAAATCATGAGATTTTTGGGGATAGTGTATAGGGTTTGTAGGGTTTGTAGGGTTTAGGGTTTAGGGTTTACAGCGTTTAAAGGGTTTTAAGGGTTTAAAGGGTTCGATTCAGGGCCCACCAGGATAACCCCCATAACACAAGCCCTGCTGGCAGAGGCCCACGGAACCGCTGTCCTCGCTGCTGCGCAGGTGCCGGGACGCAGTACTGACTCCCTCAGGGTTTCGGGTTTGGGGTTCAGGGTTTGGGGTTCAGGGTTTGGGGTTTAGGGTTTATAGGGTTTAGGGTTCAGGAAGTTCTGGGGGTTAGGGTTTAGGGTTTCGGGTTTCGGGTTTAGGGTTATTCGTGTGCCACAATCAGTTTCCGGATTTCATGCCCTGCATCCCAAGCCTTGTTCCCCGAGTCCCCTGTGCAGTGAAGCAGGCCTTGTCAATGAGTCTCTTCCTCTTGAAATCCCAGTGGACACTGGCAAGGCAAGTCGAATCGACGCCCGCTTCGCTCGCCAGGGCGCCGCCGGCGACGCTTCGAGCCTCGATTGCAGCTGTGGGTCTGTGGGCCAGCTTTTCCAAGTGGAAGACGGAGACTTCCGCGCCCAGCAAGGTGTGGATGGAGCCTCAGAACTTACCCGGACCCTAGGGTTACTGAGGGTGACAATCCCAACCCTGAGCAGTGCACAGACCATCAGCTGAATGTCAGATCTTGGGGTCCCCTCCCCGAAGCCTTCGGTGGCCCAGGACACCGGCCTCAGCATCGAACTTTATCTGACCGTCGAAGGCCCTCCTTCAATGCCTTTAAAGCAACAGTGTTAGGACATTTTGCTTCGAGGATATTTTGGGGTGGGGCCCGGGAGTGGGCTGCTGTATTTCAGGGCAATCGGAAAATGGTCAGAAAGGCTCCAAGAAAGTCAGATCTCCCACGTGTGCTCGTGTTAAGGTGTCCCCCAGAATCCCGCGACCCTGTTTTCTTCAGCATGCCAAGCCGCAGACGGAGAGCCACGAGTTTCTCATTTCCTCTTGCTCCTCCCTTCCTCCCTTTCTCTCTTTCTTACTCTCTGTCTATCCTTCCTTGTCGTGGTTTGCTTCAGCCCTCAGGTTGGCAGGCGCTTGGGCTGCCATCGGCAAATGGCGTTAATGAGAGGTCGATCACGAGTCGATCTTTGGGGGCTCGCGGCACTTCTCAAAGACTGGCAGCACCCTGACTCAGTAGAGAGGGAGACTAGTCCTAGCTGTTGCAGCTGCAGGTCTCGGAGGAAGCCGTGGGCCGACGGCCGCTCTTCCCTTAAAGGGAACAGGGTGCCCCCCCATGCGGCGGAGGAGCCTTGGCCCCCCTCTGGGCGGCGTCGATGAGCCGGTTGGCCTACGAGTCTAGGACGAGCCTAGGACGAGCCGACGAGTTCTGCTCGGCCCTGTGGCGCTTTGACTCCCCCAAAAACTGGGCCTTGCTCCTCCGTCCCATGCTTAGCTTATGTAGCAGCGAAGCTGCTTTCGTCTCTGTTGTTGCAGCCTGCAAGTTTTCCCAGGGCTGCAGGATCGAGAAGAAAAATTGTCATTCGGAGTGTTTCTGAGGGGCTCGGAGCTGTTGGGAGCGACTTGTGACGGGATTTCCGGAAGGGCTTTTGGTGGTGTTTTTTCCTTTTCTTTGTTGTTTTCTCCCAAGGTTCTGCTCAAGGGAGGGCCTGAGGCATGCCCCCCGCTTGAAGCCTTCGAGCGCGCACCTTCAAGTCGATGCTTTCAACCAAGAGCCGGGCCTAGGTTCCCCATTCAAGGAGGGCGCTCCCAAAAGTGGGCCAGAGGCAGCGCGAGAGCAGCCTGAAGCAGTTTTCCGATCTCGGCCGGTATCTGAGGTTTGTGGATGTGGCGGCTTGGAGCATCCGAGCTCGCAAGGCCTCTGGTGGGAAGTTGCACCCTCCGAAGCAGAGCCACCCAAAAACCTGGGATGCTTTTCCCCCCCAACAGAGTCCTTGAGAGAAGAGCCCCGAGAATTTCGCCGCATCGCTGGAGAGGTCTCCGCCCGCCTCGCCTGGCTGCGCCACCTGGAGCTTCTCCTTGCAGCCGGAGGCACTCCTCTCGGCTCCACCCAAGCCTTTTTTGCTCTGTCTACCCACAAGGGCCAAGCCCAAGCACCCGTTGAAAAGAAGTCTCTGCCCTTCTCTCTGCGAAGCTTCTTGCTGAGCGCAGGTGCGGCGGCCTGGCTGGCGCCTTTCCTGGCATTCGGTTTTCATTTCAGGAACACAGGTTTTTCACTCTCAAAACCTGGGTTTCCCAATTACCCGGGGTTGAATCGGTGAGATGGGACGGTTCTTTGGGGTGGAGTTTTCTGCATGTTTAGACCACATTTGGGTGTGGGATGTTGTCGGCGGTTGCTTTCCATCATCCCAATTTTCTCTTCGGGCGCACGCTTTCCTGCAAAGCTCTGCCGAGATGGGCCACTGGTCATCATCTTCGCCAAGGACGGCTCGCAGTTGTAGCCTCCTCCTCCTCCTCCGTCTGCTCACGAAGCCCGAAACGTTGCAAGTTTCGGCGGTGCTTTCGCAGGTTTTGGGGGGGCTCATCCAGTCCAGGGCGCGTTGGAGTTCGGAGTTCGGGGGTCTCGGAACCGCACAGCCTTCTTGCTTCGGGCACTGCGCAGGACAGGGCCAATTCACGGCCGAGCACCCAGCGCTCCCAGCTCTTGATCCCTCGGCGCTCTTGAGTTGTGAGCCCCGGAAGCCATCAACACATCCCCCAAAGTTGCAAGGGGGCCTCGAAGCTTTAAGCCCCCAAACAACCCCCCCCCCTCTCTTCCCTCCCAGTGAACCACCTATCCCCATGCAGTGGCCTCTCGGAAGCTTCGCGCGTCAAAAGAGGTTGGGGAGACCTGGAGCGCTTCGTCCTGGACCAGGCCAACCTGCTCCCCATCGCTGGGGCCGCTGCCAGGTGGCAACAATTCAAAACCGGCAATGCAAGCAGCTACATGTACAGTTAAGGGGGGCTTTGGGGTTCTTTAATTCGGGAATTGGCTTCAGGGTTTTTTCCTGTTTTTTTTTTGCCTGGGCCCCATGAAAAGTCCCCCGAACAAAAACTTGTGGCTTCGGTGCAAACCGACGCGGGACGCGGGGGGCTCACATGGTGTCCAAAGTTCACCGCATAACCTCTGCAAAGTCCCCGCGTTTGGAGCCTTGCCCTCTCGGCACAACATCCGAGGCCTTCGGAGGCCTTTCATGTCCGAAACCTCCTCTCAGCCCAGGCTTCGGTTCTCCTCTACCACCTCTTTGCCTTCGCACTGGCGCGCGCGCATGCAGAGCAGGCCAGACTCTTGTTTCCTTCGGGGCAGGCTGACATGGGATTTGCTGCAGGGGGTGCTCACTTTAACAGCAGAAGTGCGTAGGACTTTGCTTCGGGTGGTCCCCAATCTTCAGCCCATCACGGGAGTCCGAAGAAGGCCGCCACCGATTCCACCATAGGTTGAGTTGAGCCATTCAGCAACCGAGAGTCATCCGGCTCGGCTTTATGCCTGAACCTATCGACCTACAGACCCAGAGACCACCGCAGCCCTGAGCAGCTTGTTTTGTAAATGCCCCACCTCAAGCAGCATGCTGCTAGCATGCAAATGCTGAAAAAAGGCCCCGAAAAGGAATTCTGGAAGGCTGGACAGTTGAGGGATGTGGAGAGCTTGTGCAAGGGAGGTGTGTGGAAACGGGGGGGGGGGGGGTGTGCCCCCGAAGGTCCGAGCAGACGGCCTCCACCGAGCTGCGGCGCGCGGGGACGCGGAGGCGGGAGCTGCGGAGCCAATGCGGAGCTGCGTGTGGGCTTTCTGTCATGTCGAAGGGCGCTTATCAGCCCTGTAAGGTTGCAGAGGTGGTTGCAGAGGTAGCGGCTTGATGCAGTATGGATGTGTGTGTGTGTGTGTGTGCGCGTGTGTGCCTGCCGAGGCCTTGCGAAGGTCTGAACATCCCAAGCGCAGGGCCTCCTCCCTCGAAGCCCCGAACCCACCCCTCCCCCTCCTCCCCGTGTGCAAAAACTCCGCGCTGGCGCGGGAAGGCAGTGGCCCGACTCCTTCGAGAGTTGCTTCCACGAAGGGAGGCTCGGAATCGAGGAGATCTCACCTTTGCACTTTGCACCCAAAGGGCCCCAAGGACCCAGTTTTTCGAGTAGACCCGATTTTAACGTTTGAAGGCTTATGAGGCGTGCAAGCATCATCCTACGCACGTGCCAAGCTCAAGCAGCCGGTTCTAGCGATAGAAAGCTACGCTCAAGCAACTCACGAGCGCAAAGTTCCCCCTGACAAGGCCACCGCAGCGGTTCCTTCCTCCAGCTGCCGCCCAGGCGCCGCTTTTGGGGGCTTCAGCGGGCATCACGGGGCGTTGAGCAAACAAAGCTTTTGAGAGCCAATGTGAGCAGCCCAGCGAAGGCGGTTGCGCACTGCTTGACGGCGGGCCCGGGCCCTGCACGGAGGATTTTTGGAACGCTTTCATGTTAAGGAACGATGGTTGTCTTGGAGGGGGGGTCATGTGCGTCATGTGGGCCTTTCAGGTTTCGGGGCCCTCAGAGCCCCCTCAAGCCCCAAGCCCTGAGGCCCGTGAATGCCTTGAGTGGTGCTGGCCTGGCGCCCTTGCACTTGGCGGCCTCTGCGGGTGCAGACCGCGTGGTGCGGGTCCGGCAGCCAAGATGTTTGGTTCTTCCATGTTATTCCTTCTTTGTCTTCGCCTTGCCAAAGTCGCGCCACGGTCAAGGGAGGCTATGGGGTTTGCAGGCTTTTGCGGTTCCCCATTCCTCTAGCATTGATTTGGCACAGCCCCTCTCAGAGCTTTGTGGGCACTTCTCTTGGAACATCCCAGAAGCGGCATAGTCGGTCATAGTCGTTGGCACTGACATGCGAAATTCTGAACACGTGAGAGTACGTGAGTTGTACCGAGGAGCTGATCCGCGCAAATGCCGAGGCACTGGGGTGACTGCAGCTCTCTTCATCTGTCTTGGATTCAGCAAGGGGCCACAAGCATCTCGTCTGGCTTCACTGGCTCGTCGTTGGTCCAGGTGTCCCTAGCCACAAGAGATTCTGGTGCGCGGCCACCTCAGATCCCGAGATTATTCTCAGGCCATGTCAGGTGCCCCTCGCCGAGTTTGCATTCAGCGAAGCCTGTCGGCGTACATGTAAAGTGAAGCACGCAGGTGTGTTAAACATCCCTCCCCCCCCTCCCCCTCCCCCCCACTTTCTCTCAAAGAGCCGAGGACGCCTCTGATGCTCAGCGCCGAGGCGGGCAGCGCGCGGGCCCCGGAGCTGCGGGCCTCCCCCTTGACAGACAAGAAACGTAGAGAGAGCGAGAGAGAGAGACCAGTGAAGAGTATGTCGAATGTGTGTAGGGTTTGTAGGGCACGCGGGGCCGAATGGAGCTGGGGTGTGGGGGAGATATGACTTTTTTGCTGGACTCACTACTTTGAGGCTTCGGGTGGGGACTCTGTGCAGGAATGCTTTCATCATTACCTTTCAGCCCTATGAATCTCCAGATCTACCCGACCAGGACAGGGTTCTCCGACTCTTGCTCAGCAACGGGGCTGCCGAGGCCGCGATGAGTTCTTTCGGTTTGGGAGACAGGGGGCAAGAGTGTCTTTTGGGGGCCGGTGTACATAGATTAGAGCGTGCAAGAGACTCCGCCGATCATCATGGCCTCCACGCTCCCGCCTTTTTGATAAGGACGCCTGTGGCGTGCATCGCCGGTCTTCGCAGTGCATCTGTAAAGGCCGAACTTCCAGTTCGCCTCCCCAAAAGAAGCCCCGGGCTTCATGATGCGAATGCCTGCGCCTCCGTGGCCGTTGATCTCAAGTAAAGAAAAGTCGCGTTGTTTCGCCCGCGCTGTCTCTGAGCCTTGGCATTGTGGGTAGCATAGCGTACTTGGAGGCTTATGGGTCGTCGTGGCTGGGGTGTTATCTAAGTGCTGTGACCGGCTAGAGCCGTATCTGGGGCTCTCATCGCACTCCTGGCTCACGGACCTTTCAAGTACAGCAAGTTTACGATACCGACCATCTCTAGCCAGTTGCTGACAGCCAAGGAATTCTCATTTTACAGAACCTTACCGCAGCAAACGCGAGAATGGCGCCTTCGCTGCATTGGGAATGGGGCTGTATGCTGATAAGCATGGCCTGCCCGCTAAGGCTACCATGTTCGAACCCGGGCCCTCTTCTTGAAGAACTTGCCCTGCACCTCCATTTGCCAGGACTACCGGACGATTCTCCTGCTCTTGGCACCGTGCCTGGGCCGTGCGAACAGGGTTTCCGGCTGGGAGTGCAAAGGACGTAAAGAAACAACCAGGTGGAGTTTGCATTCGGGGCGATTGGCTTGGCGTGCGGCAAGTGGCCAGCGACTGCCCGATTCATCATTGTGGTCGATTGTGGTCGTAGATTCTTCTTCCAAAGTTAGCAAGTTGGCTCAAGAGGTTAAACTATTGTCGGTTGGTCGCGAATGCATGGGGTCCTCTTTAGAGCTCTTCTTGCCTCCATGCAGATCCTAATGATCTCAGCACATTGGTGGCGCGCTAGGCAGGTCAACTCTCCGCGGGCCTCTGTAGACCTGAACGTTATAGGGCAAAATCCTTGCGTTCATATGGGGGTTTACAAAAGCAGGGGACCCCAATATAGACCCCAAATAGTAGGATTTCCCGACCCAAGAAGGTACCCCTCATCTCGTAAGCCCCCTTATGCCAGCAACCATCCGAGAAGTCACAGCCCTCTGAGCAACCGCAGACCCGCCTCAGGACTCTCGGCCTTGGACAGGCAACAACTTTACCGCAAGAACGCCTTTTCGTGTCAACTACTACGCCGCCAGACTCGACAGTAACGGGCTTGTTGGCTTTTTTGTTTTAAAGGAGGAGGGCTCCAAACAGCAGGAGTTGGAGCTTCCTTTTCAGAGGTGTTCTAAGTGGGTCTTTCGGGGGACGGCGAGAAGGACGTAACCGCACACTTATCCGCCTTCTTTGCTCTGGCCTAAGGAGGCTTTACTTCAGAGAGGCGTAGTTGTTTTGGGTTCCCCCGAACCCTAAACCCTAAACCCTGAACCCTGAACCCTGAACCCTGAACCCTGAACCCTGAACCCTGAACCCTGAACCCTAAACCCTAAACCCTAAACTCTGTATGGGGGCCGCGCGAGGTTGAAGCAAACCGCGCCCGCCACGGACCTCTGCGGCGGCGACACGCAGCCTGGCCCATCAGCAGATTCGCAGAGCCCCGCAGACTTTTTCAAGAAAAGATATTTATAGATGTAAATCTCAATACAAGAACAAAGATAAATATTTAATGGGGCTCCCGCCAGTGCCCCCAGCAAGCGGGGGCGGTGAGGAGAGGGCTCTGGGGGTGGGGTGGGGGCGCGTGGGCGGTGTGGGTGGGTGGGGGTTGGGGGGTGGGGGGTGGGAGGTGGGTGGGGAGGTGGCAGCGGGGGGGTGAGGGCGGTGTGGTGGGTGGGGGCGGGCATGCGCTGGAGGAGAAGGCGGCGCTAGGTGGGCAAGAGCAGCGGAGGGGCATGCGCTGGAGGTCGGGGGTGAGGGGTACCAAGGGGCAGCAGGTCTTCACTGACGCCGCCCCCGGTTGGGGTCGGCGGATAAGTACACCGATGAAGAAGTACCAAGAAATGTATATAAGAATAGTAATACTTGTGGCGACAATCACGAAAAACGTCGCATTTAAAATAGAATAGAACAGTAACGAAACACTAATCACAGTTCTAAACGGAGGAAGCAAGTCCCTTAGCGGGTTCAGAGAATTGGAGCTTCAGTGCCTCGAGGAATGCCAGCTGCGACTCCGAAGCAGCCGCCGCCTCCCAGGCCGGAAACTTCGTAGGGTTTAGGGTTATATGAGGTTAGGAGTTTAGGGTTGAGGGTTGAGGGTTCAGGAGTCTAGGGTCCAGGGTCTAGGGTTTAGGGTTGAGGGACGGCCAGCCCGACAAAGGATCTTGCCACCGAGCCCGAGGGGACTTGGACCTACATGGCCAGGGCCTTACGTTCTTGACTGAAGTGTTGCATGCGGCCGAAGCAGACCCTACGAATCCATAGGAATCTCCCCAAACAACTGTTTCTGTGGAGTTCGGGGACAGAGGCCAATTTCGTACTAACAGCAGAAAGAAGTGATGATTTGACAATATAGTAAGAAAAAAGTGAGAGCTTTACCAAGATAAGCATAGAATAGCATAGTGATACAGGAGAATCACGTGATGAAAGTTTACTACCATGATAAATAGAACAGCATCGTCAGATATATATATATATATACACATATATATAGATATCTATATCTATCTATATATATATATATATTATACATATATATATATATATAAACAATGTATATATTATATACATATACATATATATATATATATATGTATATATTTTGCTGAGGAGATCCTCCTGGACATCCTTGGCTTCGGCTTGGCCGACTTCGCAGCCTTCGGCTTGGCCGGGCTGAGCCTTCGGCCCTCTTTTGGCTTCAGAGGGTGCATCTGAGGGCTGCCTTGTAGGGCTCTTGTAGAGTCTAATATAGGGTTTATGTAGGGTTTGTAGTGCTTGTAGGGTTTGTTATAGGGCTCGTAGGCTTATTTGGGTGTATGAGGGCTTGTTAGGGTTTATGGGGTTTGTAGGGTTTATCGGGTTTATAACAGGGTTTATAGGGCTTGTAGGATTTATAGGGTTTACAGGGTTCAGCAGGGTTTCGTTTACAGGATGTATAGGGCGTTTGCAATGGCCCTAAAGCCTAAACCGTACATCTCCCAAGCTGCAAGCGCGCCAGGCTTGTGTCTCTGCGACCTCTCGTGAGGCCTGGGTTTAGGGTGTAGGGGGTTTAGGGTTTAGGGTGCGTGCAAACGTTGCAGGGTCTCTTGGCTCCTGGGGGACCCTCCAACATAGACCCCAAAGAGAGTTTAGTAGGATTCCCTTTCTCATAAGGACTCTTTATTACGGTACCCCTTCTCATATCGGACACCCCTCCGCTCCCAACAGGTGCGCATGCGGGATGAAGCGGGGCCAGCAGGCATAGCCAGAGCCAGATCCTCGCAGCCACCCTGTTGCTCAGAAGCCCAGCATGGCCTTAAGAGTCCCTCAAACCAAAGAAGCGGCCGGAGTTCAGAAAACGAGGTTGCTGGGGCAGGTTTCAATGGGGTGGATCCAGGGCTGGCAAAGGTGCCGCGAGGGTCTAGGTTTCACCCTTTTTGTGCGCAGCGGCGTCCGCAGTGCCAGTTTCGGTTTTTGAGAAGGGGCACTCGCCCTTAAATCCGGGGGGCCACTTGTTTTCGTGTCTTCTTGCGCTGCGGACGCTTGCATAGCCACCGTACAGAGGCTCGCTGGGCCACGCATCGGGAATGGTCGGCTCGAGTTGCCGAAAACGCAGAGCAAACTGCCATATGGGCCCGACATGCCCGACCATCGAAGACGTGTGGGCCCCCAGTATTGCGCCTCCGGCCTAAGATCGGAGTTTTGTCTCGACTCCCGGGGCCGGAGCGTCGCCGTTTCCGAAGCCTTCGGGCTTCGTACTGTCGCCTCTTTAAAGGGGGCGGCCTCGGCCTCCCAAAAGTTTGGGAAGCAGGAATCGGCACTCCCCCGAGCTTTCGAAGGCTTGGGCATCGGCCTCAAGTCCTTCTTGCTCCCTGTGGCAACGTGACAGCCTTCAACCTTTAGGCAAGCCGCCTTTGCAGGGCGGGTACATCTTAAGTGGCGCTTTCAGGGCTCGGGGGTTCCATGCTTCCTCGCGCAGCCGCAGCGGCATTGCCGTTGCCGGCAGCTTGACAAGTCAGCTCGTCCCTCAGCTCAGGTGACCTTGTGACTTGGGCTTCGCTTTGAGGTTTCAGCAGCTAAGTTTCCTGCAGCGTCGGCTTCCATTCCAAGGGTTCAGAGCCGCAGCAGGGCTCCTCATGGCAGAGAGCAAGGGGTCTCTGATGTCGAAGCGTGCGCGCGCACGTTTCTTACTCGGGTTCTTCAATCTGTCCACGTCGACCGAGAGCAAGAAGAGGGCGCGAGCTGAACACATGTCCATGAGCTACAGCTCCACCCATTAGGGAGCCCGGCAAGCAGGAGCATCATCAGCGATTATAGGGGCGCTTAGCCTACCTGCCATGAATCAGAACATCAGAGCCCTGACCGGCCAACAAGGACAGCTACTTGGACCCTGAATGTACTGTAAAAGGATGTCAGAGGACTGGAGTCGGAGCGTGATCCCAAAAACAAGGGGCTTGCAAGTTCAACGCCCTCTGAGCCTCACAACCTGTGTGCCGGGCATGAGAAGCGTGATAAGAGCCATCACGTTTGAAGAACTTACGCAGCTTCTCACCAGGCATCCCGGCTTGGGGGTGTAGGCTGACGCATGGAGAAAAAGCCCGGATGCCTTTCCCCACCAGGGGGAGGAGGCGCGTGAGTTCGGCAAGGCAAACCAAAAGGAGGGGGTGCTCCATGATTCCGCTGAGTGGTGTGCAGATGCCCCCCACTTGGGCCCATTGACACATTGACCCCCTGAACGTTTCCCGCCCTTTCCAGGCGCTGGAAAGAGCGGGCCCCGCAGCTTTGACAGCAAGCGGTAGTTGAGCGGTTTTGCCCAGGGGGCTTGAGGCTCCCCGCCGGGTAGATGATGGGCTTTGAAGAATCCTTTGTGAGAATCCTTTCCGCCTTTGCCTTCCAAGCCAGCTGAGCTCTTTCAAACCCTTATGGAGCGAGACTCAACACCCAGGACGGAAACACGGCGCTGCACCTCGCAGCACGTGGGGAGCCACAGGAACCCAGAAAGCCAGCCCTGCCAAAAGGTATGCAGGGATATGGAAGGTATGAAGGGTGGTCAGCTTTTTGAAGCATCCGAATCCCGAAGCCCGACCTAGAAGTGTCCCTAAAACCCGTCAAAGCTGTGCTTCAAGCCGCGTCCGAAGCCCCAAAAAAAGACGCCTCCAAGTCGAGAAGTCAGGTGAAGGCCATTCTGAGTGCGTGCCGGGCTTACCTCGAGAAACAAGTTTGACATTGCAGTGACCGACAACAGCAATTATTCCAAGTGGGGAGGCGAAGACGCAGGAAGAAATCATGTCCACCATCCCAAAGCGGTGTATTTCCAGCCATGTCGAGCCCAGCGCATACCGCAAAGACGATGTGCCACCCCGGCCACCCCCCATAGAACTCTCAGATCCATCGGCTGCTGCGGGCGAGAGCCAACCCGCAAACGCGCAACGTCCGAATGCTCAGCTGTTTGGGGGGGTGTAGAGTGTAACCCTGAGCCCCTGGGCTTTGATAGGCATTGTGACTTTGGGCTTTCGGGGGTTTCAGTACCTTTGAAGACGGGCGATCTGGCTCTCAGAGGGGTGGGATCCGGCCCGAAGATGAAAACCCATTAAAAGGAACTCCAGCAGACTGAGGCCCCGGACACACTACACCCGAAATGGACTAAGCCCCCCTACGGACCCTCCAAAAGGGCCCTACTTGGAGGTTCATGGTACTTCAGAACCAATTATATAACTGTACTTATAAATGTAAATGTACTCATAATTTGTTAATAAGTACCATGAAACTAAACCCTCAACCCTAAACCCTAAACTCTAAACCCTAAACTCTAAGCCCTAAGCCCTAAACCCTAAACCCTAACTTGCGCCCATTTCTTAAAGGCGAGGGGGCTTTCGGCCTTCGACTTGGCGAGGCGCGGCCCCGGCTTTTGCCCCATGGCTTCCGTAGTTCTGCATTCTCTGAGTCTTTTGGGTGGAGGCGGTTGAGGGTTCTAGGGTCTAGGGTCTAGGGTTCAGGGTTTGGGGCTTAGGGTTTAGGGTTTGTAGCGTGTAGGGTGTAGGGTGAAGGGACAAATGGGGACCGGTCCATGAAACTGCATGGGCGACTGGGCGAGGGGGAGAAGGTTCGCAAGAGCTGCTGGATCTTGAGCTTTGTGGTGCTCTCTGCGATAAAGTTGTGAAGCCATAAATCTCACAGCTGTGCCCAACAAGCCGGCGCAGTGAAAAAGGGAGACCACCGGACCCCCAACCGACCAGCCCCTGAACCCCAAAGCCCATACCCTGTAACTCTCAAACCCCTCAACCACCCCAGACCCTGAACTCTAAAGGCCCCAAAGCCCCACAAAACCTTCTAAATCCTAAGCCCTAGCACCCTCAACCTTGAACCTTACACTCAAGGCCTAGGCCGCCTGAGCCCTCGCCCTCGATGGCGCCAGTCAACCCAGGGCAAAAGAGAGGTGGAAAGAGGCGGAAAGAGAGATAAAGAAAGAGAGATCCCCTCATGCCCCGTGGAAGAAGAAGAAGAACATGCCCCAAAGAACGAAAGAGAGAGAGAGAGAGAGAGAGAGAGAGCGAGCCGGATCTCTCATCCATGTGTGCTTTTTAAAGTGCGCATGAGAAACTGAATGTGGAGAAGCTGCCCTCCCCCCCCTTGCCCTGCCCCCCCCCCCCGCTTCTCCGTTGGTGGGGTCTCTTTGCCCCTTCTGCCTCCGAGAGATTCTCAGAGAGCATATCCTTGCGGCTTGCCTGTGCAAGAGTGGGAAGAGAGGAGGGCAAGCAGCAATCGATTTCGAAAGCCGCCCTCTTGCACCCGCTGTCGATCGGTGCTTGGACCGAAGTTGTTGCTGCTCGGTTCCGAGCGCACATGCCTTGCCTTCCCCCCAAAAAAACTTTAACCTGCAGGCCCAATGAAAGCACGCGAATGCCCAGCCGGAGGCTGCAACCCAATGATAAGAAGCCCTCCCCTACACCCCCAAAGCCAAGACCATAAGCCCTTACCCCCCAACCCCCTTGCAAAAACACACCCGTCCGGCAGGTCTCAGAAACCTGCAGAGGCCTGAGTCGGACCCTGTTGAGGGTACCCCCCCCCTACTGTAGAGAGGCGACTGAGGGCTTTGGGGTGCATGGGGCTTTGGGGATTTGGGGGTTGAGTTCAAGGGGTCTTCGAGTCCTTCATAATGATCGTCCTTCTTCTTGTTCATTATTTGTTCACCCTTATACTGACAGTCCCTTTCATCCCCTTTGAAGGACTGTTAGTATAAGGGGAAGCATCCCCACAAACTATGTATGATGAAGAATCTGATAAGTATTATTGAGCATATGAGCATATGGGTGCTGGGTGTCCTGGGTGCTGGGCTCCCGGAAACCTTTCGCTCCCCATCGCAGGGCGACGTGACCGCGAGCCAGCTCCTCTCCACTTCCCTCTCGGAGGCCCGGAAGGGAGGCAAGAACCCCAAAAAGGTTGGGTTTTGAAAAGGGTTTATTGGGGTTTTATAGGTGTTTTTGAGGGTCTTGTGGGGGTTTGATAAGGTTATATAAGCTTGGTAGTGTTTTAGAGGGTTTCAGAGGGTCTGAGAGGGTTTATAGGGCTCTACAGGGTTGGTTCGCAGGCTCAGAGAAAAATTGAAAGAGGCCCTGAGCCTTGGTGACTCCGATCACCAGGCCTCCGGTTGAAGTTGACCCTAAACACCCTGAACCCTGAACCCTCACCCTGAACCGAGCTTCACTACAAGAAAGGACAGCGAGACAAGGCCTTCCACCAGGTGCTTTTGGGCATGTCTAGGCCTTCACAATGTGTTTTTCTTTTTTTTGGTTTATTTTTGTATTTCTTCCCGTGTCTGGGGCCCTTGGAAAAGTAAGCTTCAAAACGCACCAACCAACTCCCCGCGAGAGGTGGCAAAGGAGACGTTTCACAACTCCCTGCCGCGCGGGTGCCTAGCTTTGCTCTTGGGCGCGACGCGCGCTTACCCAGGGAACTTCAGACTTATAGAATTCTGTGTATATATGTCTATATATCATATGGTATTCTACATATTTCATATGTATAGATTATGTATACATACAGTATCTGGTGTCAGATGTTTTGAAACAATGGGTGCCTTTTGGAGAAGTTTTTTGTTGTCTTGTCTGAGGCACTCCGTAGCTTTCACATACCTTGGGGTTGCGGGGTTTCGGGGTCTTGGAGGTAGGCGTTGAGGGGTTTAGGGGTTTTGGAGTTTAAGCGTTGAGGGGTTTAGGGGTTTCGGGGCTTAGGGGTCTAGGGGTTTAGGAGTGTAAAAGGTTTAGGAGTTTAGGGGTTTAGGGGTTTAGGGTTTCGAGGTGGATCCTCTTTTGGGGGCCCAGGCCAAAGCCTCTTCCGGAAGGCGAAGTGGTGGAGGCGCCTCTGACTTGGCGCAAGCTTTTGCGGTTTCTTCTTGGCCGTCTGCCTTTCTACCTTTCTACCTTTCTATGCTGTTCCCAGGCAAATCCCTCAAGTGCGATGTTAGGTTTTAGGGTTAGGGTTTAGGGCCAAGTCGTATACGGTCTTAAGCCGTAGCTGTACCTCCATGTGATGTGCTGTGACCTTCGTGGGGGACACGCAACAACTCGAATCCGAACCCGGACTTGAGAGGCCGAATCTCCAGATGCTTGGCCCTTGCGGCTGCTCTGCAGCACAACAAAAGGAGAGCACCATAGAGAGGAAGACCTTCATTATTTCGCAGGGCAGGTATGAGGAACACATGAGTTGGGGAATGGTCTACACTCTGCCCCAGCAGAGTATCTCCGAATCCCTCTCCCATTTCTTTTGCCCCCCAGGCTTCCCGTGCGCAACCTCGAGCCCGAGACCCCGGAGACCTCCACCAGAGGCGCACGAGAGGGCCGGCAGAGGAGCCCCCTAAGCTCTAAACCGCCCCCTTTCCTCCCATTTTAAGGTCTTGTAAGAAGCCCTATAAGCCCACAACCCAAAGGACCTTCCTCTCGAAAAGGCACGCCCCACCGCGGCTCGGTGACGCCGCGGCCCTCGGCGCCGTCGCCCTCGGCCCCCTCGCCGTCGGTGACAGCGCGGAGCGGTGCCGGCAGCGTGCCGGAGAGCTCAGGGTGACTCCGGCAAAGCATCATGATCATGACGCACGCGGCAAAAGCCATGTAAGAATTCCGTCTGCATGAACAAAACGCCTCGCAAAGATGAACGCGAGAATGATAAAGTACACTTTGCCAGCAGCAGCGGGCTTTAAAAGGAAGAGTTTCTTCTGCCCTGGCGGAGAGGGAGGGTTCCCTGGGGACCAAAATGAACACTAAACGGGCTTGTTGTTCATATACCTTCATAAGAACTACAGTATAGGCAGTGTAGGGATGTATAGGGTATACGACCCAATTTTAGGGTTTGGTCCCAAGGTTGAAGAATTTGAGACGGTCGGGCCGGTTCGTCTGTCCCCGTCTGTAAAGTTAAAGCCGTCAAAGCGTCCAGCATCCGGAGTAGCACAGCTTCTGCAGATTCGCACAAGCTACAACTAAGCACATCTATACCACAAAGCATTAGCAACGAGCTCTAGACTATTCAACTGTTCGCTGCAGCATCTCCTCTCTTTGCGCCTTGTGCGTTGCCCCCTCAGTGTTCCCTTCGAGGTTGGACGTGCCTGTCGTGGCCGCTGCCGACAGTGCCTTGGACGAGCTGCTGGCCGAGGCGCCCCCGGAGTCTTCAGCCCCCCCGAAAATGAAACGACCCAGAAACTTCTAATCCCAAACCCTAGCGGTTTAGGGTGTAGGTTTAGGGTCAAAAAGTCCGAGGCACAGAAACGTGAAGCACTAATGCCTCTTTCTGACTCTACGGGGGGGGGGGGTTGATGTGCATCTCGGGGGCTGATTGTCAGGCCACGAAAGCCCTCAACTGGCACCACAATGCAACCAAAGCCGTTTAACTGGTGCAGCGTTCTTCGAACTCTCCCCTTCGACAAGTCCCTTGAGCCTGTCGAAAGCCAAGGCGACCCGGGCGGGGCTCCGCGTGTCTGCGCAGTCGCAGCTTGGCTCAGGGGTCCGTCAACGCAAGAGGTGGGGAATCCCCCTCCCCCCCCCCCCCTCCCTTAAACCCTGAGCGCGAAAGACGCTGAAACCTAAGCCCTATGTTTTCCAGCCTAGTAAGCCCTAACCCCTGAACCCCCCCTCCAATGCGCACGCGGCAAGAGCTCTCGTTCCCAGGCCGGCGGTCGCGGCCAGTGCGGAGGCCCTAGAACTCGAAAGGCCGAATGGGCCGACATTATGTCTAGATAGGTCTTCTTGCTTGAAGCTGACTCCAAGGGTAGTTGTGTGGCACCATCCGTGTAACAACCCTAGGACTGACTCGCTTCTCTAGGCTTGCTTGAGAATACCCAGGCTTGGTCCAGCTGGTTTCCTAATGCAGCCACTGTCCCCATCTGCATCCTTCTTTCGGGTACTTAGGTACTTGTATACCATTCCCTAGATGCCATTTGATCTCGGGGTTGGACTCAGGCCGGTTTTCGTTCAGGATCCGAAAACGAGCATGGCAGCGGAGAGCGCCATCTCTACATCGAGATCCTTGAACCTCATTCTCAGACGTGGGAGTCAACAACACTGTAGATCCCCCCCCCTCTCCCCCCCCCCCCCCCGAAGCTTCTTCGAAAGGCCAGTAGCTGTACTCTGAGCCCTCACATCTTCCCAGGTGCTCACAGAGGCCGGCACGAGCCGAACCAGCCCACGCACCCAGTCTGCCGTGGCCATCGGATGCAAAAGAAGTAGAGGAAAGGGAAGCAAGCGAACCGCTAATAATAATGATCAGTGAAGACACGTCGTGCACTGTTCACGGACAGCTGCTGGCATCCCGAGTGGGGTGTGGCAGTGTTGTCTTTCGAGTCGTGTTGACGGTGCCTCTCGATTCCCAGGCTCTCGATCCCAGTTTGCTCCCATGTGAAGCCTCGCATGCCGAGGCGGTGTGCAAGAACTTAGCCCTAAATGGAATCAAGTCGCTGGCCCAAGCAGGTACCAGATCCGAAAGGTGCAACACAGAATGTCTTGAGAAGGGGCACGAAAACATGCACCCCAAACAATTCCCGAGAAGAACGTCCTCAAATCTCCAATCTCAAGTCCCCCCCAAATCCGGGACAAGAATAGCCTCCACCCCCCAAGATCAGAGGCCAGACGAACTCCGTGTTGCATCCCGGCGGCGCCCGAGGCCGTCGGCAAATCTACTACAGATTTTTGATGTATATGTTTTTTGTTGCAGTTATGTATATGTTATCAAACTTATCTTATGTATGCATGGGTGCGTAGATATTATGTATCATATGTTATCTGTTCGTATACACACCCTATGGGGTGAAAGCGTTTTGGGGTGGATTTCGGCGCGAACTAATTAAGCTCAACACAGCCCCAAAGGCCGATCCTTGCCAGAGGCCCAACTACACCCTACACCCTACACCCTACACCCTACACCCTACACCCTACACCCTACACCCTAAACCCTAAACCCTAAACCCTAAACCCTAAACCCTAAACCCTAAGCCCTAAACCCTAAACCCTAAACCCTAAACCCTAAACCCCTGCCTCTCAGCCCTGGAAGCCCAAAATCTGGCCGGAGGCGCCCTGCCGAGAGTCACAGGCGCATGGGTTGTGTGGTGTCTGGCGTAGTTCGAAGGCTGAGACTTCTTGCGTGGTGCTGGGGGGCGAAATAGGCTTGCTGGGAATCTTTAAGGATTGGCGGGAGATAGGGTTACAGCGTTTTGGCGTTTTTGGCCTGTAGAGCGCTGAAGGTGTCGCAAAGTGCCAGGACTGTAGGCCTTACAGTTGTAGGCCTTACAGTTGCTGTTGCGGTTGCTTTAGGACTTTAGGTTTTTGAGGCTCTTAGAGTCTTGGACTTATTGGGCTCTTTAGAGCTTCTTGGTGGCTGCCTCAAACCTCGAAGCACACGGTGCTGAGCTACGAATCCTGCATGGCCCGTGTGGCTCGTCAACGCCAGCCGCTAGCAATTTCTCTTCGGAGTTTTCTTGGGTTTAGGGCCAGTTTAGGGTTTAGGGTTTAGGGTTTAGGGTTTGGGGTTTAGGGTTTAGGGTCTTCTAATAGGAAATGTTGGGTTCATGGGGAATTGCAAGTGTGGTCTAGCTCCTTTATGCGCTTATTTTGCTTTATGCTATAAAGACCCATTTGTACTATGATTGGTGTGCGTGTGTGATTCCATGTTTGCGCCTATATATACGAAATGTTCAGTAGAAAAAAGGGTAAGTGAAGTAGATATGTCTGAATAGAGTAATTAATAGAGTATTATCTAAGTACGAAATTTCTACGAGGGAGGGTTACCAACATCATGTTTCGGACATAATTTTGCTAGTGCATTCAATTTGAGGTTTATATTGCGAATGAAATCTCAGAAGATAATAGAAATACATATATACGTCGCACACAGTTCTCTCGTCGTAACTCGCTTTTTTCACATCTTTATATTCGTTTATTGTTTTCTTGTCAGTGACTCATGGGCTTTTAGAGAGTTATTGTGGCGTTTCGTGCGCATTACTTGTTGTCTTCTTCCCACACATCCTCTGTGGCAATAGGTAGTTGAGACGTGCAGGAAGCGCTCTCTTTCTTCGCTGATGCAAAAGCACTATACTCCTTCGAAATGATTGACCCCAAGCCCTGAACGCTAATAGCCCCAAAGCCCCAAATACACCCCAAACCCTAAACCCTAAACCCCAAATACTAAACCCTAAACCTTGAACCCTAAACCCTAAACCCTAAACCCTAAACCCTAAACCCTAAACCCTAAACCCTAAACCCTAACCTCTAAACCTCTAAACCTCTAAACCCTAAACCCTAAACCCCAAACCCCAAGCTCTAAGCCCTAAAACCCAAGCCACCTCAACCCGCAAGAGCAAGAGGGAGGGGAGACAGCGAGCATCCCTCGGCCAGGCCTCGCTTCGCTGGTCACCTGGGCCAGTCCCGGGGCCTCTTGGCACGAAGAGGTTTTAGGGTTTCAGGGATTTGGGGTTTTAGGTGTTAGGGTTCAGGGTTTCGGGTTTGTAGGGTTTAGGGTTTGGGGTTTTAAGGGGTTTCGGGGTTTTAGGCCCCAAGAAGCGCTTTCCCAGGCTCTGCGCCAGCTGTTGGCCGCGTCGGCATCAGGGCCGACACGGACTCCAGGCGCCATTTGGTGAGTTAGAACAGAACCTGAGCTCATTGCCCAACCAACTAGGGGGCGGGGGGGGGGTCCTGAACCCCACTGATACAGGTGAACGTTCGAGGGTTGGACAGGTTTAAGGGTCCCAGCGCGCCAGATGCCCAGCTGCCCGGTTTGGGATGGCATATCTCTCTCAAGGAAAAACAAGAAGAAGGACAACCAAAAAGGGCACAGCCTAACGACCGCCCCAGGACCCATGACATGCTTCGGCAGGGACCATGCCTGTTCACATATGTTTTGCGGTTTAGGGTTTAGCGCCATGCTGGCCGTCCTGGTGCTCCCCATCGCTCTGGCTGTGGTCACGGGCCTCTGTGTGGTCTACGCCGTGATGAGGCCCGTGCCTGAGCAGCAACCGGCAGGGTCTTCAGCCTTAGCCTTGAAGTCGGAAATGTAGCAAGCGAACCACGCCCGACGCCCAAAGATCCAACGCCGGGGGCCCAATTTTTAGGGGTTGCAGGCTGCCAGCAAAGCCCCAAGGTTTGAGAAGCCAATCTTGACCGCGTGTTGAAGACACCCAAGGCCCAGCAGAGCTTTGCCCAATACCGCACGAGGGCACCTGACGTTGGCCCCAGCCACGTCCAACCACAGGCTTGGCAATCGCCGGGCGGCTTGGGAAGTGCAGGGGGTTCTCCGACTGGGGCCCCGACAACCTTCACATCGCTAGATTCAATAGATTACAGCTGCAAAGGAAGGAAGTTTGAGAGTGACAAGAGTGTAGTCCGCAGGTGGTCATCTGTGTCGGCGATTCCATCACGAAGGCTCGTTGCACAGGGCTCATTCTTGCAATAAACCATGACCCTCAGCTCGCAAAAAAAGGAGATTGGGATTGTGAGCTCAAGAAGTTTCCCTTAAACAATATACGAATATACTGGTAGGAATAGAACAAAATCGTAGTATATCAATATAGTCATTTAGCAATACAAGAACTTGAAAGGTTAGAAGCTTTTTGCAGGCCACCGTCTCGGGTGATTGGCTTGGTCTCTTGCGGAAGCGGTTTCCCAACCTCCGCTTTGTCAATGCCGGTGTGAACGGGGACTGCGCCTACAACGTGGCAGCCAAGGCCCCCTGCAACTTCAGAGCATGCTCAGTGCATCCCCCACATGTTTGTTGCTGACGAACAAGTATCATATTCCAAAGAGGGAGGCACTAGGGTTCGGGAGGACTTGTGTAGTCGCAGCTCACAGACCGGTTGGGCCCGGCGACCAACGGGGGCTGGACCCTCTGACGGCACAGGACCATGAAAAAAGCAGCAAAACCCGAGGACGCAAGCTCCTGCAAGGTTATAGGGTTTATGGGGTTTATTGTGTTTTATGGCATTTTATGGTTCATACGGGGGGTTAGGGGTTTTGGGTTTAGATGGTTTATAGGGTTTACAGGGTTTTTTGTGTTTCACGGGGTTTTATAGGGTTTCCACAAGATTTCAGAGAATTTCATAGGGCTTCCTAGGCTTCAATCGTGGTTTAGTAAATCTCTCTAAGCCGACTTGTCGTAGGCCAAGGCGATCCGCGATTGTCAGCCGGTGGCGGTGGTCCTCCTCGTGGGCACCAACGACGCCAAGGCTGTTTGTTGGCATGTTTGGGGCTTTCCTAATGCCTGAGGCTTCTGCTTCAGAACTTTAAGAGGTGTTCATTTTTGTTAGGGTTTAGGGTTTAGGGTTTAGGGTTTAGGGTTTAGGATGTAGGGATTTGCTTTTGTTGAGGTTTTGCGACTGCTTGTTAAGCCCAAGCCCGGAAAGGCCGAAGTCAAAGCAAGTTGGGGCAAGCACAGCCGGCTGTACAATGGGCTGCCGCAGGAGTGAGGGGTATTGGAGCTCTCAAGGCTTTTCGCGGAAGGCTAAGACCCCCCAGATCAAAAGCCATTGGCTTGCTTCTTTCTTGTTTCTTCATTTATTTTTGCGCTTGTGTGTGTGTTTTGGTTTTGCGAAGGAGCCCAGCTACGACTTCTTCCGGGCTTCGCTGGCCTCAGCCACGGAGATCCTTGCGGCCCCCGGGCGATGCCCGGCACCTCCTCTGGCAGTGCTGACGCTGCCGATGCTCGGGGAGGATCCGGGGCACTTCGGCAACAAGGAAGTGGCATCCTGGCTTCTCAGATTTCAAGCAAGCATATTGGGAGGACACAGTTCTTAGGTACACATGTGGGTAGCTGTGCAGGCTGTCTCCCAATTTTTCATGTTTTCACTGAAGTACCAACTGCAACATATTCTCAAATGTTCGTCCCAGGGAAAAAGGTCAGCTTTCTTGGGTGTTATAGGACGAAGCTACACATCGTCTCTTCTTGCCGTTTGGCTCTGATACATGTAGATGTACTATACTGTACACAAGCCCTGCGCAGAAAATGACCAAACATCGCTCTGAAATTCAACATCGGAGGAGTAGCAATGAGCATCAGTTGGAATGAGACAACAAGTTGCCAAGGAGACGCACGGATGGTTTAATGAGGGAAAGTGATCACCAAACCTATCAGTTCCGTTTTGGCGCCTCAAAACTCCCAACCCGTGGGCAAGTATCCGGCCCTGAAGGAAGCAGGAGCACAAGCAAGCACGCTGAGACCCTATGCCCAGACATGTCAGCTCCGAGCTCCCAGGTCCCCAAGTACAACCGGGTGCTGGAAGAGGCGGTGGCGGCCCAAAGAGCGAGCGGTCGCGACCTCGAGTTACTGGAGCTCAATGCTGCGCTCTGGGACCGTGCCAAGGACCGGTCTGGGTACGTGGAAGGGTAGCTCAGGGGATGTCTGGTGACGAAGCCACGCAGAATTTTGCTTTTAGCTAAGAACAGACGTCTCTAATAAAGGAGCTTCTGCTCTTCTTTCGCAAGGCTGGTTGCAAGGCTCTACGTGGATTAGGTTGATTCAGTGATGCTTGCCGAGAGCACAGCCCTTCTGTGCCGGGTCTAGTTCCCAGTTCTTCCCCGGAGGAACTCCGGTCCGCCTCCTCCGCTCCTCTGCCTCCCCCGCCGCCCGTGGAGAAGTTCATGGGCCTCGTGTGGCTCGGCGCCACGCTCCATTATTTGCTGGGTTGGAGCTGGGACGCGGTGGGCCGGCGCCAAGGGCAGATGGTGATGTTCGATGCCCTGCACCTGCGCCTCGGTAAGGAAATGCCAGGTGTGTTCATCTCAAATTGTACATAAGTCCATACCTACATTCCCGTTTGCACGGCTCATCGTCGAAAGCTAGGGAGGTGTCGCATCCTCTCGGTGGCCTAGGAATGATGCAGGGGCAGCTGTCGTGGCGCACCTTGTTACCAACTGGCTGGTGAAGCATGTGAACACCGGGGCGGCTTCTGAAGAGTTGCAACGCTGGTAGCGCTCCGACTGCAAGCACAAGGCCCTTGAAGAGTTCTGCCTCATTCTGCCGTCCTTGTTGCGTAGAACGAGGGTGTTGGCTTTTGGAAGGTCTGAAGGACCCTGCCTGCCAACAATCTTGAACCGGCAAAGTGTTACATTCCTGCCAGACGGAACTCCGGACCCAAGACGGGCGGTGGTGGCCAAGACAGCACGCGCATGAGCGAAGTCTGGCGCCTCTTCGCCGACGAGGACATGGCATGTCTGCAACCTTGCCAATCGCTCTCTTTTTTGCGCATGCGGGCCGGGGGTCTCCGCATCCCGAAGTCTGCCCAGAACAAGCATCCTCAATTCCAACCCCCCGTGCTGGAGACATCGCCTCTGGACTCTTGAAGCTGCACATAAGGCGCTTAACTCGGCCACAGCGAGTCGCAAAAAAGAGTTCGCCGCGGGAGGTTGGGATCTCGTTTGGGTCAGCCTTGCAGTGGCTGAGGGCCGCTTTCGGACATCTTAGGAGACAACCCTCAAAGTGGCAAGCCATCCCAAACCATCCCCCATCATAAGCATTCCCCTTCTAAGCTCATGCTGCAGCCAGTCACGGGCTTCGGGGCACAGCTCTGGCAACAATGAGAGCAGCTCTCTCTGTCTCTGCTTTGCTTCGGATATTTACGCTGCTCGAATTCGGGCTGAACCTCCAACTGACAACAGACTCCCTCATCAGACTCTCCTCAGACTCTCATCAGACTCTCCAGCCACGCTGTTTGCTTAAGAACCCCCCGCAAAATAGTAATCCCTAAATTACCCTTGAAGGACGAACATTCGTCATTTCTTGTGGGGCTTCTTGAAGCAGCCGGGAGGCACCCGGAGTCTGGGCGACGCCACGCCGACGAAGGCGGGGAATTTCGGGGACGTGGCTTTGGGTTCAGGGTTTAGGGTTTAGGGTTTAGGGTTTAGGGTTTAGGGTTTAGGGTTTAGGGTTTAGGGTTTAGGGTTTAGGGTTTAGGGTTTAGGGTTTAGGGTTTAGGGTTTAGGGTTTAGGGCCAGCGGCTTGCAAGAACCATCCCGTGAACCCCTTCATGAACCCCACTTTGGCTGCACCGGTTCAGGAGTATCACCTGAGATTCTTCCGCATTGCCCAGCACCCAGTGGCCCAGCGGACTTGTTTGTGTTTCTGTTGCAGCTTCCCACGAACCGAAGTCTGACTTGCCACTGGAGAAGCACGCGCCCCATTGCAGTATGGCTCAAGGGATGCTGAAGGACAAAGGTTCCTGAAGTCAGAGGTCCATGGAGGCCTCTCAGTCGCAATAGAGGGGAAGGGAAACAAAAAGGAAGAGACCTCCCTAAGAACAGCGGGGAGATGAACAAAACATGATACTCGGGAGCCCTTTCTAACTTAATAAACAGGTAGGGGAGAGCGGGGATCTTTCCATTGAGTTGTAGACGTATGCATGTGTGTGTGTGTGTGTTTGAAAGAAAGAAAGGTGCATTAAATTGAATAATCTTCCCTGCGGCGCAACCCCCCCTCCCTTAAGTAGGACCCTTCTCTTGGGGTCCTTGTCTGTTCTTGTTTGCGCCTTCCTGCGCCTTTTCGGCCTGATTGGATGGTGTTTCTGAGGTTTACCCGGTGGCCAGCAACAGCACGAAAATGGGCGAGGAAGTTCGGCTACACAATTTGGCTCCGAAGGAGCAAGCTGAGCGGCTCCCCCTCTGGAAACGCTGCTTGGTGGTCTTGTCACTTGTCCCGGTGGTGAATTTGGTCCTTGTGCCATTCTATGTCAATCCTCCACCAGAATCCATCAGAGCGATTTTGCAAACGACCATGATCGTCAACTGCCTGGCCCTGGCACGGATACACTTCGACGTGAAGCTGGACGATGCTGCGGAAGAGGATGCGGCGGAATTCAAGCGACTCCTTGGTGACTATGCTCGAATCGTCATGAACTCTTTCAGCTTGAACGTGTTCTTGTTGCTCTTCGTGGTGCTTGCCAATCCAACCAGGACCAGGGCAAGAGGCATCGAGGTTTGGAAGTGCTTGCGCTGGGGAGTGCTCATGCTCTTCTGGCTCATGGAGTTCTACCTCATCCAACTGTTCAATATGTACACCTACTGGGGAAGGATTGTGTACCAGGACGAGAGTCTGGCGGTCTTCGGAACCCCCACGGGCGTCCTCATCTACGGGGGTGTGCTCTTTTGCATCATTGTTGGCAGCTTGGCAATGGTCAACGAGGTTGTGTTCAACCTGGCGGAGGAGCATGAGAAGGGCCTCTTCCGGACCGAGAAGCAAAAATGCCCCTTCATCTACTCTTTGCACAAACTCCCAGCAACACAGTCCAAGCTGGCCTTGGAGGGCCTCACATACAAACGGCTGAGGCCCTTCAAGGACGACTCCCTGATGCTCTACAGAGTTCTGTGCTCTGCTGGGCTCGAGCCTTCAGACTGTTTGGATGTGATAGCTGCTCTTCAAGAGTATGCAGCAGCACTTTGAGCCCCCAGCCCTTGCTGCACGATGTCCGGGCTTTGCCCCCCTTCCTTATACAGGCCAGGTGGTCTCCTTTCAGAAGGACTTCTCTGTTCGTTTATAGGTTTGTGACGAGAGTCGTGCCGGGGTACATCCTTGGGAGTATGGCTTGTGGAGTCAGGTAAAGAGACCACCAACCAGAATAAGTTGTCTGCATCCTGATGAGTTTAAATCTAGCAGTGCTGAAATGGATGAAGCGCTGCGCGCGTTCACCACATCTTGGAGGTAGATCCTCACTGCACGTGCCTGTGTTATTTACAAAGGAATGCAATTGGATTCTGATCCCGTGCCGTGTCGGAGTTTCGGAAGGGGGGTGGGGCCGCTCAGGTCGGCTTGATTGGCGAGGGCAGCTTCGGGAGCGTGTACGAGGCAGCCGCCGCGAAGTCTCGCCTCATGTGCAGAAGCAACCTGAGCTTTTTATGATGCAAGATAAGAAGAAAAGCTGATCATATCATAGGTCATATCATACACAACATGCTTCATAACCACTGTAGTTAGCAGATACTCACAGAGTATGACACACGACAGTGTGGCCCCAACCCCGTACACACACACACACACAACCCCAAACCCCAAACCCCAAACCCCAAACCCCAAACCCCAAACCCCAAACCCCAAACCCCAAATCCAAAGCCCCAAGCCCCAAGCCCCAAACCCCAAACCCCAACCCCCACGGACTTTCGGAGGTCTGCGATCTGAGGCCCACGCACAGCCGGGAAGCTTAGAGAGGAGGAGAAGCGGGAGAAGGGGGGAGAGTCTTGAGGTTTAGGGGGTTTAGGGGTGAGGGAGTTTAGGGCTTTGGGCTTAAGGAGAAGGAGGGAAAGGGAGAGAGAGAGAGAGAGCCCTCACACCCTTCTTGTAACTTCAACAAGAGGGACTCTCGTGAAGACCTCGGGAGTCCACACAGACGGAGCCGCGGACGTTGCGGGAGGGAGGGAGGGAGGGAGGGAGGGAGAGAGAGAAGGCGCAGAAAGAAAGGAAAGAGGGGGGGGGGGTGGGGGGGGCCGGGGGAGGTGGGGGGGGCCTAGAGTGTGGAGAGAGAGAGGGTGGGAGAAGGGGGGAGAGGGAGATGAAGGAGAGGCTGTTTCTTTCTTTGCGTTATGTGTGTATGTAGGAGCGGGGAGATTGTATTGGGGCTTCCAGAAGCGGTAGCATGTTAGGGGAGAGGCATTGGGTTGCTGAACAACCGAACGATTCCAAGCTGCCATTCCAAGCTGCCGGAATCCCCCGCCAATCAGGAAAGGAGCCTTGTGGGGATCGGAGCCAAATCCGAAGAAACCCTCAACCCTAAACCCTAAACCCTAAACCCTTCTGTTTTCAGCTTCTTTGGGGTCTGTGCCGACTCGCCGAGGCGGCGCAAACCCTTTGGGACTTGAGCGGCGGTGCGCCCTGAACCTCGTCGAGCTTTTGGGGCTTCATGGGCCTTACAGGGATGATGTGGTGCTGGGGGTAATGTTGTAGTTGACGGAGCCCCCAACGCGCCCTGCGTTTAGGCTACTTTGGCGCTTTTACGGGTCTTTGGGGGTGGGTGTTGGGGGGGCATCCGACCTTAACCCCGCTTGAAGTCAACCTGCAAGCGCGCAGACCCCCTGAGCCTTTTGAACTCATCTGAACTCATCTGAACTCACCTGTACTCATCTGAGCTCATCTGAGCTCATCTGAGCAAATCTGAGCAAATCTGAGCAAATCTGAGCAAATCTGAGCAAGTCTGCATCTGAACTCATCTCCCATCAACAGGCATGCTCTCTTCGAGCAGCATAAAATGTCGAACGCGAGCCTTGCCTTAGGAAGATCCTCCACCGGCGCCAATACTTGGCCCAGGCGCCCCGTGCTGGTTGTTGTAAGATTTGGGGGGCCATTGGGCCGAGGGCATACTCGATGAGTCTTTGAAGCCATGCCCCCCCCCCCCTCCCCAACAAGCAATGAGAGATTCCAACAAATAAATAGGCCTCCAAAGCATCAACCACCCTGCCAAGCCAGAAGGACATGCTGGCACGCGCCAAGCAAGAGCGTCAGGCCAGGGATGGTATGTGTCCGCCATCTTCACAACGTTTGGGTCTGCACTGTGCGGTTGTTTGGTATGTTTCGGTATGCGCGCCTGGCGCATCCGACGGGAGCAAGGCTGTGGAGGGGTCGATAGCTGGAAGTACTCCGACGCTGCTGATCTGGGCCACATTGACCTCCATTGATCTCTGATCCTTCACGAGCTGGCAAACCTAGGCCACGGTGTCAGGACTCCTGCACCTTCCTCAAAGCTCCAGCAGCCAAGAACGCACTACATTGAGGGGCCCACATGAATGCAGTGCCGAGGCCCAAACCCAAAGAATCGGCAAGGACAGGCCTACAAAGGCCCCCTTGATGGACTCTCTTGAGTGTTTGGCGCAGGTCCTAAAAGCCGCACGGCATCCCTTCATTGTCCGCTTGCTCTGCGCTTTCCGCGTCTTGGCGGAGCCAATCCTGACCACCCCCCCCCCCGCCCCGGCACACAGAGCCTTGGAGGTTCAGGGTTCAGGATGATCAAGGTTCGTGGGGCAGCTATCCGGGGTTTTCTGTAGGGTAGCAACAGCCAGAATATCTAATCATAAGGCTGGAACTATGACCTTCTCAGAGAGCCGACGAGTTTATAAGTGCATGAAGCCATTTGAATGCTAGGGAACCGGCGGGATAGCACGGGGCTGACGCCCGCAACCGCCATGGAAGCCCAAGCAAAACCCACTTCAAAACAAGGCCATGAGTCGCAGAGTTGCTGCGAACTGTTGACCCAAAGAGTCCCCAACCACAGCGAAACATTGGGATGTTCCGCCCTATCCTAGCAGTCCTTCATAAGGATGATAGTAGGGGGGGGGGGGGGGTACTGGAATCCCTATGAAGGACTGTTAGTATAAGGGGGGGAACATCCCAAGCGAAACACGTCACTCTTCACGAGTGCTTCGTTTTCCTCTGGTAGCGCTGCTCTTCAGGAGTTTCGTTGATAGAGAAGAGACGGTTCATGTTCGTGGATCCACCTCAGCACCTCTATCAAAGTGGCTTTGCTTCTGGGCGGGCAAGGAGGTGAAGAGCCACTGAGGCACACCCGGTGGTGAAATGGCCTTGGTGATGGAGTGCGCCTTTCTTCGGCTCTAATCTCCAGCCGATATGTTCAGAGAGAACGGAAGTTGTTGTCAGGACAGAGTTTGCAAACTTCAGGTAGATGGGGCTGGGGGCTCTTGACTCTTGAGTTTTTGTGTTTGTGTGTGTTTCAGGGGTTGCAGGTATTGCCCAAACGGCAACCTCAACGACTTCATTGTCCGGAATGGTCAGCCGGGTCTTCCCGAGGTGCACCGTGTGGTGTTTTTTGGCCTAAGAGGGCGTATTGGGGTCCTTTTTTTAGAGGGATTCCCGTAAATTTGGGGATCTATATTAGGTGTCCCCTATTTTCGTAACCGCCATATGACTAGTCAGCCCTCTAAATCTTGGACCTTTTCCAACTTTTTCCACTGAATGCCTACATCATGTAAAGCGACCGCCAGGCGGGGCTCCTCTTCTTGTGATGAGAGAATGAAGTATTCATTGTAGAGTAGGGTGTGGTGGGGGGGGGGGGTGGTAAAGGAACCCCCCAGGTATGTAGGGTAGATCATGGTATCTTCATCTGAAATTTTGCTTCCCGCACCTCTGAGCCCTGGACCCTAGAGCCCGGAGTTCGCTTCGCCGTCCAGGCGCTCGCCCGGAAGCTTATCGCCGAGGCGCAGCTGCCCGAACCCGCAGAACTGCACTTCTTTATCAACATCCTTAAGACAGCTTTCCCAAAGAAAGATATGAGAAAAAGGCTCAAGCGAGAGGCTTAAGAAAGGTGCCCCCCCCAAAAAGGGAGGGTGGCTTCAGAAAGGCTTCACGATGAAGCATCCGAGGAAGCATCCTGGATGGGTCGCCCCAACTGGGGATTTTACACCCTAAACCCTAAGCCCTAAACCCTAAACCCTAACCCTAAACCCTAAAACCTAAATTGTAAGTTGTGAGGTCCTCCTGGCCTTGGGGTACCTCCACGATGAGCCCGCCTGCCATGGTTGGAGGGAGGGCCCGTGGCCCCTACCAAGGTAGGCCCTTGGGACATTTCGTATTGGGTTTAAGAGGATCATCTTTAGGAATGTTGCTTCAGAGGTCCTAGCTACCGTTTTTGAGGTTCTTGTGTGTGGTTTTGTGGAACTTGTTGGGGGCTCCAACGTGCTGGCAACAATCAGGTCCTTCAAGCCTGAGTCCTGAGTCGCAAACCTCAGCATCCAAACCCCCAGTGCCCTCCCAAGCAGCAACTGAGTAAGGCCCTCCTTCCCCCTGTTTAGTTTCGGGGGGGGGGGGGAGGGGCTTTCGGTTCCCTGAATAAGCCCCTTTAAGCCAAAACGGACACCCTTGTCATTCCTGGGTTCCTCTTGGGTCCCGACGTACTAAAGCAAAGGCTGGATGTCGTCTTCCGAGACCTGAAGCCGGAGAACGTGGTTCTGGATGTGGCCATGCGCCGACCCCAGGGGCCCCAAGTACTTAGGGGCCTACAAACAAGTCTCATCGGATTTTCCAAGAACAGCCCCCATTCACTGTTCTCAATAGGTTATCAACACCTTCCCCGAGCCCCAGAAGGCCCTAAGGCCGTAAGGTCAGAATCCCACAAGAGAACCGAGGCACGCGAAGCTGACTGACTTCGGCCTGGCGAAGGCCGGTGGGATCCTTCTGGGGCCTTCAAACAAAACAGGGGGTTGAGAACTCCTGAGGGGCTTAGGGGGGCTTCAGCCCTGAGCCCTGGGTGTTCTGCTCAAATTTGCCGGGGTTGATATTCCACAAAACCCTAACCACTAAGCCCCTAACCCGAAACCCTAAACCCTAAGCCCCAAACCCGAAACCCTAAACCCTAAACCCCTAGACCCGAGTAAGCCTGTTCGGGAGGCCGAGGCGAGCTCGGGCACTGGGGCGCGGAGCTTTGTCGGTGTGGCGCTGAGATG